CAACCAAAATGTTGGCTCAGGAACTCTGGCATTTGAAGCATGCAAGTCTGAAAGCTGTCAAGTTACAAGACCCTTGCACCCCAAACCCTTTAGAAAAAAAAACCCCTGAGGGGTGTTCAAACTTGACAGCTTTAAGACTTGTAGACTTCAACTCCCAGAATCCCTCCTCTCGCTCTTCATCTTGATGATGTGCAGACGGGCGGGGGGGACAGAGTTGGAACTGGTTCTAAATGGCACTGTAGATTTGTAGAACCTCTTCTATAGAAGAAGTTAGAACTGGCAGGAACCCATGCCTGTAGCAGGCCTATTTGGAGCCTCCTGGGACCAGAAAAGGGGCGCCGGGGGGCACCCAGCACCACCCCACCCCTTTTTGGGCCTAGCAGGCCTCCCCAAAGCCTCCTGAGATCAAAAATGGGCACACAGGGGAGGCACATCCCCCTGCACTCCCCCTGCCCTCTGCCCATGCGCATGTGACTGCCCACTCCCCCCACGCATGTGCACGCTTCTCCTGCATGTGTGGCAGAGACCTGTAAATCAGCTGGCTGGCAGGAGCACATGCATGTGCGGTGGAGCTGAGCTGGGGTGATGGCTCGTGTGCCGACAGAGAGGCCTCCACATGCCATCTGTGCCATGCGTGCCATAGTTTCGCCATCATGGTCGTAGAGTCTGAATATCTTTTTTTTACATCATCGTCTTTACTTGAAGGAGACTTTACTTCTAAGTGCCATTCTACGTCTGCTCCTAAAGATGGATATTGGGCACCACATTTCTAAGAAGACCATTATTTTCCCATTCTCTAATTTCCACCTAAAATTATCTTCCTTTCCACCTGTGCAAATAGATGCCACAGCAGAGGAATAATACATACCTGCAGCAAAAGAGGTTACTGATCATTGCCTTGTGGGAGAAAAATGGTTGCAAAGATGTCCAACTTGACCTGAAGTGACCTCCCAAAAGTCACTGGAACTAGATCAGAAGCCCGGTAGACTTTCACCAAAGTGCAGGAAGGGGGATGAAATAAAATCTACGAAGCCATAGCTTGGAAGGAGACAAGATAATATCACAGAGCAGAATTGGGTTTGCAGTCAAAATCGTCATAATAGAAAATAGAAGAATAACTCCCCAGATAGGCTTGGTATATTTGAAAGACATTCCATCAGGCTTGCTGTCCGTACAGTCTGCTCTCTTTGAATGAAGGACAGACATCTCTTCTCTTCTCTTCTCCCCTCTCCTCTCCTCTCCTCTCCCCCCTCTCTCTCCCTCCCACTTTCCCTCCCTCTCTCTGTCTCTCTCTCTGTCCCTCTGTCTCTCTGTCTCCCTCCCTCCCTTCCTCCATCTGTCTCTCTCTGTGTGTGTGTGTATCTCCCTCCCTCCCTCTCTCTGTCTCTCTTTGTCTCTGTCGCTGTCTCTGTCTCTCCCTCTCCCTCTCTCTCTCATTGCCCAGAATCAAATGAAACTGTAATGCTTCATGAAAAAGTGAACTTGAGGTGGGGGTTAGAAAACTGCTTGCTTGATCACTGGGATAAAAATAACTAGATTGAAAGTGGGATAATCAGGAACATCTGTGTACTGATCAGGGAAGAAAAGCAAAGGACTTGGAGACCATCAGTATGATTCGCAAAGTTGGGGAAAAAAACCTCAAAGATCACCAGGTCATGCATTGTTGAAATGATCGTGGTACGACAAAACCGCGGTCCACTAAAGTGCGCCTGATTAAAGCGCGTTGCTGACGTCATCAGCAGTGCGACAACAGCGACCGTGGAGAAAAAAGGGCGCTTTAAAAAGCGCTTTGAAAGCAAGCCGATTCACGTTAAGGTAAGGGTTAGGTTTAAGGTTAGGTTAAGCATTAGGATTAGGTTTAGGTTAAGGGTTAGCATTAGGTTTAGCGTTAGGTTAAGGGTTAGGTTTAGGTTTAGGGTTAGGTTAAGCGTTAGGGTTAGGTTTAGTGTTAGGTTAAGGGTTAGCATTAGGT